CATGTGTAGGTGCAGGCCTCCACAAATTACCTCAGCAGGTGTATATATATCTGGCTCTTTGAATCTACCTGGCAGCATGCAGAGCTACTGTTCTTAATTATTCACACATTGCAGAGAACACAGGGACAACTGTTACATTTGTGGAGGAAGCAGGTCCACTGAGCTTTGCAACACGCAGAAACAGTGAGAGAAGGAACAGTGGCTCCTGGTCCTTCTCTAATGCACTCTCTTGCTGAAGGATCCTGAAACCCCATTTATTACGTTCTATATGATGCAACTGACAATGTTCTCTGTATAGTTTACAAAAATTAAAAACCTTAATAAATACATTTTATAAAAACATTTACATACAAATGTACAGGACACAGATACATGCATCAAACTATTATAAACAACAAGTAAAACCCTGATTAAAACATGCTGTAAGATGTTTGAGAGAAGATAGTATCTTGGTGCAAAAAAGATAACAGTGTTGGTACCAGATGGACCCCATTACGGAGTTTGGTCCATAACTGGGGCTGTCTCCAACTTTTTTCTTGTCACCACCATCTGAGTCGTAGAAGAACCATCTGGAGAAGGAAGGGGTTTAGATGGTAAGCATAGTATATGGATTGGTTCATGCTGGAAAAAGTATTGGCTGTACCAGACTTTGCAAGGCTTATAGGTTAAAACCAGCACTTTTAATCAGGATTGGAAACATACAGTAAGCCAGTTAAACAAGCCAGAATTAGTGTTATATGTTCAGATCTTGTCTTTATTATCAAGCTGGGTGCTGCATTTTGCATAAGCTGCAGCTTCTGAACTATCTCTGGGGGAGTGATGATGTTCCATCAAGGATGAGCTATTCCACCTGCTCCCCACCCCAAGAGACTTCAAAAGCAAGGACGGAACTGCAGTTTGGAAAGGAAAGACACCTGAATTTGTTGTAGCTGCTCAATAGGGGAAAAAAACTTTAAATTTAGTTTTGTAATGTTATGCTGTTTTGCTGCATTATATTTTTGTGTTTTGCTGTATTACATGAATTGTTGTTAACCGCACAAAGAATTTCAGCTAATGGATGGTACAGAAATGAAATAAGTGCATCGTGTTTTCAAGGGCAACACAGAGCACATTGCAGTAATCTAACCTGGAGGTTCATAGAGCATAAGCAACTGAAGCTAGATTATGCAGGTAGGGGCATAGCTGAGCCACTAGCTGAAATCAGTGGGAAAGCTCTCTGTGCCACTGAAGCTACCTGAGCCTCAAGTGACCAGGATGGCTCCAGAGGAACCTCCAAGATGCGAATCTGCACCTTCGGGAAGAGTGCAACCCCATCCAGAACAGATTGAGCACCTTCCATCTGGTCAGAAGAACCAGCTACTAATAGCATCTCAGTCTTGTCTGGATTGAGTTTCAGTTTATTAGTCCTCATTCGGTCCATTGTCACAACCTCACACTGATATAGCACATCCACAGGCTTACCTGATAAAGATGAGGAGAAATAGAGCTGCAGTGTTACCAGCACACTAATGAAGTGCACACCAAAACTTTGAAAAACTATACTCAGCAGTTTCAGGTAAATGTTGAACAGGATGAAGAACAAAACTAACCCATACAGAAGCCCAACAAGGCCAAGCACAATCTTCTAGAGCCAACCATCCAAGTAGGAACAACAGAGTATCTCCCATTTCCAATTGAGACAGTTGCCGCAGAAGAATAATATGGTTGATGCCATCAAGATGCCTTCACACTCCCCCTGTCTCTCTCCAGGCATAGGCCATCATACAGGGTAACTATATGTTTCTGTGCCAAAATTTAGCCTGAGCCCCAACTGAAATTGATCCAGATAGTTATTGTCATCCAAGAGCTTCTGCAGGCTCTTACCTGACCCTTTTTCAGGTAAAAAGAAAATGCACTAGGCCCTATGGTTCATGCCTTAGAAGCTCTGTTCCTAGAACATCCTAGCTAGTAGATGAAGTCCTTCAAGCAGAGCTTCCTAGGAGTCTGTGGAGATACTGTAGGAACAAGTCATTTATGGTAGAAACTGAACAGCCATTGCTATAGCATTTCCTCTCTCCCACCCTGAGGGTGGGGTGGCTACCAAAGGAGAGCATTTTTTGCACCCTTGGTTTAAAGGTTAACATTTCTTTGAATTGTGCTTGGAAGTAAAGATTGATTCCAGGTTGCTCGCTCCTGTCAATTAGCAGCCTGTCATATTTTGAATCAACTGTAATTTATGAATAGTGTTCTAGCTACAGCTTTCTGTAGATCATATAATAGCAGCCTAATCTCTGAGACTTAGAGTCTAAGGGGAAAAAGATTGTTTTATCAGAGAGGCTAGGTCATCTTATAAAGCTGCAGCTGGTGTACTAAAATAAGCTTGTAAAAGGTACTTTTAGGACTAGGTTATCTCTGCCTCCTGTGATTTCAGGAGCAAAGCCAGATCCAGCTCACATATGCTCCCTAACTGTGCACCTGGTCTGTCAAGGGAAATGCAGCTCTGTCCAGCACAGGCGAACCAACAACTCCCAAACCAGTTAAATTTCCTGCTATTGTCATCTGTCTTGTCTGGGTTTGGCTTCCATTATTCAACTCCATGCAGTCCATTACAGATGCCAGGAATCCATTCAATCACCGCATCTGGAAAAGAGAACTAAAACTGGATGGCATCAGCATACTGGTAATGGCCAGTTAATTCTACTTCTTTGAATAACCTCCCCAGTAGTTTTATATAGATTTTGTAAAAGCACTGGGGACACAGCAGTTCCATGTAGCACTCCCTAGCATAACTCTAAGGAGTAGAGCAGCTGTTCCTCAGAAATTATAATCTGAGATCTACCCAACAGGAGTGGAATCCTCACCCAATAACTTGGCACATGATCAAGAGTATAGATAGGTTCATTTTGGAATTGACTAAAATGTTCTTCCTGTGAGCTCTTTCTGTAGTGTTGGGAAATAAATTAGCAAGCATATATAATAAAATCAGAATTACTGGTTACATTACTATGTAAAAAATGTATTCAAATAGGTGAACATATGGATTTAGATCTGTGGTAAATGAAGGAACAATAATTGGGTTACTTAAAATAATGGTATTTCAACACTAAGATCCTGCCATTGTTCCAGTACTCGCAGGAACCCAGGATATAGAATCAGTCAAGACATTGTCACGTGTTACAAATTATAGCATTAGTTTTCTGGGCTGGAGTTGCCATGTAGCACAGAGGTGCAGAAGTGCCCTCGTCTTTGCAAGCATACCCTTAGACCCTTTTTCTCAGGAACAGTACTCATTCGTAACCCAGAGACTGCCTATAATTGTTTTCTGTATGACTCCTCCGACAGAAAATGTACATTATGTATACAGAAAGACTATATGCATAATGTATACAGTAAGACTCCACGGAGTAGTGTAGAAAGACTACACAGAGTCTTCACCCAAATAGCTAGTGTTCCAAGCTAGATAGTGAAACAGTGTTGACACTTTCTTCTTTACACCATTTTCAAATAGGGCCCTTTCCAAAGCAGCTGTTAGGCTTCCATGGGAAGAGAGATTTAATATTTATACTATTCTTCCCCCTTCAGACCAAGGTTACTATGACAGAGCACACTAAGACTCATCGAGTTGGAAAGGACCTCAGAGTTCATCTAGTTGAATCTCCTGCCAGGGCTGGAAATCTGATACAAACAGGTGGTTATCTAGCCTCTGTTTAAAGCTATCCAATGAAGAAAAACCCACCCCCATCCAAGGCAGTCTGCTTCACTTTTTAAAAGTTTCTGCTGTCGGGAAGTTCATCTAATGTTTAGTCAAAAACACTTGTCGGCTCAAGTCCTAACCTTTGGAATAACCCTGAACACATTTCCTCCATCATCTCTGACAGTCCAAGTATTCAGTATGTAGTTTGGCTCTAAGGCTTGGTCTTTGTTTTTCATTTGGTCATATGAAGGTTAGACTTTAGCATTGGTATGTGGTGTCATTTTCAAGGCCTAGTTTTCCTGTGTATTAACATAGTTACCTGAACACATTCACTGAGACCATTGGTCAGTCTCTAAGCTTTCACACCCCTGTTATCTCCTTTTAATAGATGATGTCAGGAATTGCACCTGCAAGAGTATACATCCAAAGTATTATTTTTAAACTGAACTCTTAAGTTACAAGTCTCACGTGTACATACACATAACCCAGCTAAGCAAGAGGGAATTTTTGTTCAGTCTCCTCATTCAGTGCCATCACTAAACAAATCATCAGTGGAAGAACACAGTTATTTGCTGGAGGTCTTACTTGGCATGTAGCGGCACTACTTGCAGGAGTCTTCAATGCTGAAAAGACAAGGGGTATCATCTGTGTATGCATCATAGCTACAAACTTGTATCCATTCATGGGTCAGCTTACACAAGAGTCTGCGCACCTATTCTCATTAGCTTGTGACACCAGTTGGCTTGGATAGTTGCTAAAGTTGTTGGGTGGCCCCATTCCAGCAGCCTCCCCAGCACTGCCTTCACCATTACACATTTACGAAGTCAGTCTTGCACATTCTTTGTCCCTCCGTTCTGCTGCCTGAAGAAGCCAGGTACTGCTAAGAAGGAGGGCCCAGCAGAGAGGACTGCAGAAAGCTTTTTGACTGCCTGTGGCAACTGTTGGAGCTCTAAGCTGCTGTAGCTGGTCAGAAGTTCTGGTACATAGAGAAGCATGTTTAAAATAAAACTTTCTGAACCAGCCTTAAGGACCTGTTTAAACTGGAGAGGCTTATGCACACAGACATAACATGCAAGATTCATGCATATTGTTGTGGTATACCAAGTATATAAATTCTGATGAAGTAGTTTCTATAAGAAATCAAATATTAGCTAGAAAAATGTGATATTCTTAGCCAAAGATGCGTTTTTTTCCTCTTCAATTTTCACAGGTGTGTAATAATGCCTTGCCTAAAGTTAATGCCATATATCTCACTGAATCCCTTGTTCAACATTTTGAGGTTGCAGTATAAAGTCAGAAAAGTAAATGAGCACATTCTCTTTTCCAGCTCTTCCTCCAAAGCCCTCCAAGCCAATAACACCAGTAAATGCAAATGGGACAAAAGAAAATGGAAGCGCCTCACTTCAGGATGCAGAATGGTACTGGGGAGACATCACAAGGTAAAGAATGCTGTTTTCTGAAGCAGAAAGTGGTTTCTTCTGTCTTAGTGTACACATATTAAAAAGTGTCATTATTTGCATCATATTGTGAAGAAACTAAGGCAAAACTTGGAAGAACAACATGAGCAAAAAATAAATTTGAGTGAATATGCTTTTTCTGAATCTTAAGTGTTATGATACTAATAAATGTTAAACAGTAATGAAATCTATGGAGCATTCACGGTGAAGCCAGTTTTTCCATTTAAAATGTTACAGGCTTGATAAATGACCTTTAAAATTAATTTATATTTTATTAGGGTGATCCTATGGCCCCTTTGACTACAGAGAAACAGAGCTCCTATCTCAAAGCAGGGGATTTGCACTTATTTCCCCTCTACCTCCCCACAGCCAGCAGAAAAAGAATCACAGGGTCAGGAAATTCGATTTTGGAGGTGGAGCAGCTGGAACACTGCCGGATTTTGGAGGTGGGGAAGTAAAGGGAGCAGGAAGAGGAAGAAGACTAGGGCTGTCAGAATATAGCATATTCTGGTGGCGTTCCAGCCTGTTCCCTCTCCATCGAAAGCACTGCAACCAGATAGCTGAATTCGTCCCTCTTAGCTGAATTGCAGAGCAGGAGAAGTGGAAAAGAAAAGTCTCCACAGCTTCTTCCACTCTGCAATGGGTACTCATCAGAGGTTAACAAGCACTGAGGATACAATTCATGCGATTGCTTGCCAAGTCTCTTAAAGAGCCTGGTTTAAAATTAAATCAAAATATAATAATTTCTTCGTACAGAATCCATAACCCTTTCTGTTGATGTGCCCAGGATGAGAGGTGTGCCTTTATTCCTGATGATTTTAAAACCTCTGCAGAATATTAAGCTTATGTAATCAATTCTAATCATGTAATTAACATAAGACAGCATCCAAACATCAACCTCCTTGTAAGAAAGATTTAGGTGTGGCTATTTAGGAATCAATTAAATGCCAAAAAATTGGCCTACTTGAGGAAAGTTTTGACAACAAATTCTATGTGATACTCAGCATAGGCTGGGAAGGAGACAGATTAAGAAGCACGTATGTGATAATTTTGGAAGCAAATAGGGAGGAGCGATTAGTGATGATGTTAAGAATCTTTGCACACTAAACCTGATAGTATGTTTCATTCTTTAAGGGAAGAGGTAAATGACAAACTGCGAGACATGCCGGATGGAACATTCCTGGTGCGAGATGCATCAACAAAGAAACAGGGAGACTATACGCTGACACTGCGGTAAATAATTGGGACTTTGCCTTATCTGTTGTCCTGTGTAAATTGTCAGTAGCATCTGTTGCTACATTGCCATGCGTGTCACAAATGGTGATATGAATATAAACTTTGTTTTTCATTGTCTTTCTTTACAGTTTTGCTAGGTCTTGAAATATACTGCATGGTAGGAATGAACAACTTGAGTTTCTTCAAAGAATTTGCAAAGTGCATTGGCTTTCTGTGTCTTACAGAATGTTCTCTTATTTTGATGCCATTTTAACATTTCTTGATATTAGAAAAAATTCATATACTCTTGGGAAAAAATAGGGAAATTCTAGTTAAGGTTAATATTAAAATTAGTGATGTTTGCAACAGATACATTTACATTTTGGATGTACACTTTTTGAATTGGTATCATTAGAGCAGCTGATGTAGGATGTGTGCAACACAAATGCACAGCATGTTATGCCTTAATTGTTGTTGTTGTTATCTTCTTTTCAGGAAGGGTGGCAACAATAAATTGATAAAAATTTATCATCGGGATGGGAAATATGGTTTTTCTGACCCACTGACATTTAATTCTGTTGTGGAGCTGATTAACCACTACCATCATGAATCTCTTGCTCAATATAATCCTAAACTTGATGTGAAGCTGATGTATCCTGTATCAAGGTACCAGCAGGTGAGATTTTTCAAGACCTTTATTCTTTTATCTTTAAATGCAAGTATTTTTAATAGATGTTTCATCAACTATTTTTCAAGAAATGGTGTTTTGTAAGCAACCCCCCACCTTAGTGCTCTAGTAAAAAATATTTTCAAGAGTAACTCATCAGAAAGCTCTGACTGGGGTATTCTGCTTTAAATTCATAGTTGTTCACTTGGTTCATTCATAAATTGGCAGACATTAAAACACCAGTTTGATGTTTCACTGTAACAGAATGCATAGATGCTATGATAAAACATGGGCTCTTGCAGCTTCAGGATGTACCAGAAAGCCTATTAGAACCCTGCTTAGTGTAGAATCTTCTGAAGATTATGAGCGGTGTGTAGCCATATAGTTAGATATTAAGTTTTACAAAAATTATGTCTAAGTAGTGATATGGAGGGGAGGTGGGAAACGAACTGATCACAACTTTACCTACTCACTAAATCTAGACCTCGGCATCTTAATTTTTTCTGCCATTATTGATATCTCTTCAAAACTATAGAATTTACAAATATAACACAATATAAATATTTTCACAGTGCAAGAGGATGAACATATTGAAAGTCTGCCATGCTTTCTGTAAAATAACTTTTACAGATTAAGTAGCTGATATCAAGTGATTAATGCTGAGCACCTTAACTACAAACATTCCTTTACATAAAGATCCAGTATCTAACTTGTTAGCTCAAAAGTCCTAAAACATTTATATATAGTGAATAATTGGAATAGTTATCATTCGAAAGCTAGAAGAATGTATTAATGGATATTTAGCTATAGAGGAACTACAAAAGTATGTAGGTAGAGAGGCTTTATTATTCAGAATTAATAAAACTATTTAATACTTCTGTTTCCATGTGGGTAGTTCTGCAGACAGGTTGGTACTTGGGTCAGTTTTGTAGAAAAGTATACCTATTTTCTATTGTATTTAGGATCAGTTGGTAAAAGAAGATAATATTGATGCTGTGGGCAAAAAGTTGCAGGAGTACCATAATCAATATCAAGAGAAAAGTAAGGAGTATGACAGATTATATGAAGAATACACCAGAACATCACAGGTATGTTGTATTAAGCTATCATGGTGACTTAAACCAAAATAGAGTTCGATAGAAAAGATGCAATCCAAAGAGTAGATGGGTTGCTTGGCATTTTCCTGAATGCTTTTCCCTACTCTTCTTGGAAAAACTGGCATTGGAGCTGCGGTGGAGAGTTAACAACACTGCTGTCCACCATCTCTGCTGTAACTGCCTCTCCGCACTGCATGTCAGAGGCCAGCACTGTCGCTGCCAAACTTGCAGTTAAAACAGTATCTGGTTAAAGATAATTGCTATAGCTTTTGAATGCCATTGAAAAACTTGGATGACAGCTTCTTAGGGACAATGTTTCAGCTGTGAAATGTTTCAGCACAGAGCATCTGAATTCTGCTAGATGGTAGTCCAGCAGAGGATCAGCCAGAAAAAAAAACCCTCCTTCATTCTTTAAGCATATAAAAAGTTGACTTGTGCAAAGCTGTTTCTGTTCAAGTTATTCTTTAATATGGTTTGTTGATGTTTGAACTGAGCCATGTAGATCTTTTGAAATAAAAATATGTAAATATGGAGGTCCTTGGAAAAACTAACCATCTCTTTCCCTCATACTTTATCAATATTGTTGTGAATATCTAACATTGCATTGAAAATAGAAGATGAGCTCTTCAGGGGATGTAAGGCGTTCCCTATCCCTGAGATCCCTTAAGTGCCTACATGAATTTAGGGAGTCATCTAAGTGAGCCATGCACTTTATCACCATAGGATATCATAATGACTGACTGTGTCTACCAGCCTCACCTAGTTTTGTGTACGGATGTCATAAGTGGTTAGTCTTTAATTTGGATGAAAGAAGGCAAAGCCCAAGTACCTAAGTTACCAGAAGTTATTGTCAATTTGATTTTATTATTTCCATTTTTAATTATAAACTTTTCAATATTGAATCAATATAAATTCGGAACCTCATACTAATAATCTGCTATGTGTCATATAAAATAATGAATAAATAGAAAGCAGAAAGCAGTTTGCTTCCAGTTTGTTAATGATCTTTCAAATTGGTTCCTCTCTGTAGGAAATTCAGATGAAGAGAACAGCAATAGAAGCTTTTAATGAAACAATTAAAATTTTTGAAGAGCAGTGTCACACCCAAGAACAATACAGCAAAGAATATATTGAACGATTTCGAAGAGAAGGGAATGAGAAAGAAATTGAGCGGTATGTCTGCCATATGTGTTGGTAAATTATGATTCAACATGGTAACTTATTTCAGTCAAGTTAGATAATGTGCAGAGTTGGTCAGCATAGGTGCCATCGCAGTATCAGCCATTCACTGTAGGAATTTGACAAGGGATGTTTTGCTGAATCTATGTAGCAGCTTTTCCTTGTTGATTCTAAAAATGTCTTAAGGGATGAATTGCTCATATATACTCAGTAATACTGAACTATTATGAAGATTCATTGGCTGTATTCACACTTAATTGACAAGGCATGTTGGAAGCCATGCAGGTGGGCTTGTCATCACATGTGTATTTAGCAAGATGTTAAAACAGGCCATTTGGTTTCCATGAAACCCCACAGAGAGCGTACAGTCTATTTTAAGTTTTCCAGACTTCATCAGTGCTTGTTCTTACATGTGGTTTCAGTTGCCAAGTTTTTGCACAGTCCCTATGTTTCCACCAGCAAGTTTGGTGGCAAGGTTGGCCACAGTGGCAGCAGACTGTGCTCTAGCCTTCATTTTCTACTGGTCTTTTCTGCCTATCAACTGTTTATGTGTCAGTAGCAGGAGTGCTCTGATTGACTGAGTCTGAACTCTCTGTCTTCTCTGCCATCAAGTGCCTTTTTGATAACCAGCTGCCTTACTATTCCACCCAGCAGTGAGCATCATGGCAGCAGGGCATTGGGGAAGCATGCACTGGCAGGGAACAAAGGGGCAACCACAGTGAGCACAGGGGCAGCGTGCCTGGCACTCCTGCCTAGTTCCTGCGCTGGACTGGATTGGCATTTGGGATGAGATGGGTCCTGCAGTTTAAGGTCAGAGCTCTTTTCTGACTTCAGATCTTGAAATCTTAGAAATGCCAAGTGTATTAGGCATAACTTAGTTTGGTCATAATATAGTGATAATATTATCACTAACATTAAACATATTTAAAGGAAAACACAGTTAATTGTTATTATCGTCTGGCTTCTAAATATAATATTCTATAGTAATTTACAAGCAAAACAAGTTAAACATAATACATTTTAGGCACTTGAGCAAAATAATCTCTGATATGTCTGAATCATCCTAAAAGCCAAAGAAAAAGGAAGAGGTAGAAGGGAAGGGTAAAGATATTTGTATCAATGTCGGGCACAACAAATATACTTAAAAATAGATAGCAAACTAGTGTTGCCATCCTAGGATGGCGCTTGGATGGGGTTGTCAAATTAGAGATCCCTGATAGCGATCTCCAAGAAAAAGTGTGGGGAGCTGCAGTGAGTCTCAAAGGGCTCACAGTTGGCAAGGGCTAGTGGCAGCGCTTCAAAGTGCTCCTTGGGCATCTTGTGCAGCAGCTCTCGCTGGGGACGGCCCAGGCCAGCCAGACGCAGCAAGGCCTGCAACGGGTGCTTTCCAGACTTATTGAGCAGCTCATTCCCACTTGGCTTTACCCACACGAGGTTCAGTTGCCTGGTTGCAGATGACATTGCTGTTGGCAAACAAGCCTCCCTGCAGGAAGCAGTCTGGAGTACTGTGACACAGCCCCCCACTGTAGTTAATTGCCCTTGTTGGTCGTCATGTTGGGTGAACCCAGTAATTGACTACAACAGCTTCTAACAGAACAAAGCCAGAAATAGATCTGCATAGAGCAAAGAAGAACACACACATTTTCTTTACATATATTATGATACAGTGATTCTAATCACATGTTCAAAATTGAGTGTGACCTTGAGTGTGCCTTACTGTCTATCATAAAATAGACTTTAATAAATTTAGGAATAATAGATGACATTTGTGCATATTTTAAGATCAGAGCTTGCTGTTTTGGTTTGGCATGTGTACCTAGTATTTTTAAAACAACAGGTGTTATATTACAGGATTATGATGAATTATGAAAAGTTAAAATCACGTCTGGGTGAAATCCATGATAGTAAGCTCCGACTGGAACAGGATTTGAAGAAACAAGCCCTAGACAACCGGGAAATTGACAAGAAAATGAACAGTATCAAACCTGATCTTATCCAGCTACGCAAAATCAGAGATCAGTACCTTGTGTAAGTAAGCATCAGCTGGGAACCTAATAATTGGTTATAGAGTGTCTAGTAGTCCACTAGAGTAACATAATGAATCTCATTTTTGAGCATGGACTGTGAGGGTCAAACTAGATGATTCCATTAATACAATTGGCAATTATGTGAATGGCATTTTTAAAGGGTATGTATGACGAACCCGATCTGGATTGGGATCCTCCTTAAGAGCACAGGGTTTAACCATACCAGGGGCATAAATTAGGTCAACCTCTTCCCCCACCATTTTTTAAAAAGAGAGTCACACAATTATTAATGGCATTTAGTTTGGTCATCTAGTATATTAATGGCAAAAAGACCAAGCCTCTTGTGATGGAAGCATTTTAACAAATTTGATAATCATGTAGTAACTGTATCGCTTATTAATAACAGGTTCCAGCTGTGCTTGGTATGCCACCAAGGAAATAAGCCCTTTCATTTTGAAGTGAAAGGCAGCCTACACAGAGTAACAATATGTGAAGAATCTGTTTTGGAGGTGGGAACTCAAATTTCTTCTTCCCCAGGCTCTGGCCCAAAGTCTACTCGATGCTGAGCTTTCTTGTGTGCATCTGTGGCTGGAAACAAGTCCTGCTTTAACACACATGACCTGTGGGTTTTCCATACTTTGCACAAAAAAAGCCATTAGCTTTCCCAAGCATCTGAGGACTTGATCTCAGCTTGGCTCACTTCCTGGCCAGGACCAAGCATGGGAAAGAAGTTCCGCAAGTTCAAGAGAGCATGATTCTGGCCTGATCTTCTCAATAAACTATGCCCTCATACACTGCCTTTTTTCATTAGTGTTATCATTGCCCCCCCCCAAAGGGCAGTTAAGATACCATAGAACAAGTGAGCTACTCTCATTTTGGTAGGAAAAAATGGGGAAGGATGTAATGGTACTTAAGAGAGACTTGTTTATGCCATGGTTAATCCAATGTACCAGAAGGATCAAAACAAGGTGCACACATACAAAAAAACCACAATTGGATATGATTGTTTCTAATACTCTCTTAGATATTTAATTTTTTGAATAAGTTTTATTCTTTCCTAACCAAAAAAAACTAAAAAGCATCAATCATCGATAACATCAGACCTACTGGGTCAGCCCCCCCACATTTTTTCTTTTTATGTTAAATGATAAACATATTTAAGTCTATGCGTAGTCCCGTTTCTCTGGCCAATGATAAAAAGAGTCCCAAGTTTGATAGAAGTCTGTATCTTCTTTCTCCTTCAGAGACAAAGTCAATCTGCCCATTTCCGCACAGTCCAAGATCTTTTTTAGAATCAGTTCATCGGTAGGTGGCTCTTCACTCTTACAGTGTTGGGCAAATGCAATCCTCGCCGCAGTGGTTACATGTAGAGACAAATACATTGCTTGTTTACTAAGATCATCGGGTACAATGCCTAATAAAAAAAACTTCAGGTTTAAATGTTAGAGGTTTTTGTAACATCTCCTCAAGCCATTTGTGTATTTTAATCCAATACTTTTTTGCCTTATCACATGTCTACCACATATGCTGTCTTAGATATTTAATAAGGGCACTGATATAGGAGGTGAGATTGGGTGTTTGGGGGGCTTATTAGACAATATTAATTATGTATATTGTATCTCATTGACAGTTGGCTTAATCATAAAGGAGTCAGGCAAAAGCGAATAAATGACTGGCTGGGAATAAAAAATGAAAACATAGATGAGTGAGTATTTCATTGCATCTTGCCTTAATGTTGTGACATAGCATGACCAAATTGCATTTAGCATTTGCAACACAGGAGCCTATAGCACTGTGTCCATCTATATGGATGTGGTTGCCTAATGAATGTGTATCTTTTCAAGTGACCATGTCTTCAAATTCTTGTCTGTATGCATGACCAAATAACCCTGATGGTAATTTCTCCATTGACGATGTATACTTTCAAAGAAGTAGTTGAAAGAATGTTACATCTGACTATCATTGTAATTTACTGCATGTATTGTGAACTTGTTCCCGTTAAAGAATTTAGACTAGAGTGTCTAGAATTCATGAAGGAAGTCACAGAGCTGAGCCTGGCAGTCATGGACAAAACATTCTGGAGTGCATTTATTCATAGGTTGCCCTAAGTCAGAGCCTGCTTGATGGCATGTAACAACTGGTGTAATACCATTAGTTACTTATGTATATTTTTTTCTTAAATGTGTGCATCTAAGATAGTGGAAGTACTCATTTGGCCATCACAGACCTATTGCTGACTACTCCAGCCCTTAATTCCTGTGACAAGTATATACAGGCCTAACAGTGGTAGCCATGTAATGATTTAAAAAATGAGTCATGTTTCTGTTTTTTTACACGAGTTGCTTCAGTGATTATAATACATATAAATCAGCACTGAAATAATAAGATGTTGTATCTTTTTAGTATATATTTTACAAATGAGGAGGATGAAAATTTGCCTCATTATGATGAAAAGACATGGTTTGTGGGAGATCTCAATCGCATCCAAGCAGAAGATTTGCTTTGTGGGAAACCTGATGGAGCATTTTTAATTCGAGAAAGTAGCAAGAAAGGCTGTTACGCTTGTTCTGTGGTGTAAGTAGTGATTCTCTCAATTTCATTACAGTTGAAATACTTTATGTGCTCTTACAGAGGAATGAGATACACTCAACCTACTGTAACTGGCTTCAAAAGAGGAGGGAAAGATTGGGCTGTCAGTCTCAGATACCTTTTTACCTTCTGGGGTTTGCTGGTTGTGTGTGCTTAATGTTTATATTGTGGAAAAAATATGAAGATAAGGTAGTAATTCAACTGAAGAATGATCAACACCTAAATAGATAATTGTCTCATAAGCTTACTTGATATTAAGGGAACAAAACTTTGTCCCAGTCCTATAGTTGATGTGTTTCTGAGGCTTTTACTTAAGATGAATTTCTTAAGTTCTTCTTGGCATTCTTAGGCAGATTTCCCTGACTAAAGTACTCTCAACAAGTTCTCAGAGTGTACCTACTCAATAAAAAGATGTGTGTTTATTTACCCATGTGGGCAGCTACTTAGAAGAGTATGTCCTTCTACTCAATTGTGTCTTTTCAATTTGATGGCTAAATCCCTTTTCAAAAGCGTTCTATATTAACAAAGATTGTGGGATCCCATCTTAGCCCTTAGATTCCTCCCTAAGTTTGGCCATAGCCTCATAGTACAGGCATGCTGAGTTCTCAACATCTCAAGTGAAAATAGGTTTGGTAGCAGCTGACATAAACCTTTGCTTAAAAATTAATAGCTCTGCCATTCATTTTTGGACCAAATGATCATTAGTCTCTCATGAGATACTAATATGAAATGAGAGCTAAGTGATACATCACATCTTCTTGGTGATTACTTCAAAACAGAGCATAGGAATAACAGGACATAATGGATGGGTTCACATAACATGACAGGTAACAGGTGTTTGTTGCACAAGCTGATCCATCACATCATCCAAACCCCGTTATGGTAGTTCAGTGTGGCACGTTTGGTTTTCAGAAACCACAAGCAGAAACAATGGACTGTTCTATGGTTTCTTGGCACCGTGATGGCTTGTTGTGTCATGAAAACTCAGAAAACACAACTCATCCTGGTACCAAGGCAAGCACCATAGAGCCACTAAGTTAGAATGACCAGTTGCCAGAGTAGCAAATCAGAGTATGCCACTGACAGCTGCCATTCTGCACAACTGTCAGAGGCATCCTTGCTCCCTCCTGCCCAAAGGATTGTCTTTGGGACATGGAGTGGATGACCAGCAGGTCAACCCTGGGAAATGAGCAGCAGCGCTCAGTTGATTCCCCTGCTACCCCAGCTGCTCAAGTGGCAGGGAGAAGAATCTGCTGAGAATCAAGTGGCAGCTACCCCTCTGGCAAGTGGGAAAGGGGGATGAGCAGAGAGTCTGTTGAGCAGGGCTGTTGCCAACCAAGAACTGCCACCCAGCTGATTCCCACCACTTACGCTTGTGAGAGGCTTTGCTCTGGCATGGGTGGGTGGGTGGGGGGGATCTCCAAGGTGCACAGCCCCCAACCAGGCACTGCTGTCCAACTGCTGCTAACCCCCCCCCCCCCCCCACACACACACAAGGGCTTTTATCTGGCACATGACAGAGGTATCAGAAGAGGAATCCACTGAGCAGCACAGCCTTCAGCCTGGCATCACAACCCAGTGGACACTCCCCACTTGCATGTGCAAGGGACTTCCCTCCAGTACCCACAGAAGGGCAGGTGCAGCTCCTTTCTACCATTGCCAGCTGATCCCCCCCTCCTTTTGTCTGTTAGGTACATCCATGTCAAAAACTGCAAAGTCTGAAAACCATGCAAGGCTGCTTGGCATGATATGTGAATGCAGCCAGTCTTTCACTTGTTAATATCACCAGTGGTCAGTGCAATCAATAGCAACCTGTGCTTAGGAAAAAAATATAAGAGACTTTTACAAAAAGTGGGATCTAGTTACTAGATAATTCAAACATTTTCCTAGATTGTGGTCATTTCTGATTCCTGAAATCCTTTCAGGGCAGAGACACTTACTTAGATGGATGTTGGAGGCTATATGATCTGATTAATCCTAATATACAGTGGCTTTTCCTATTTACATGAAAGCTGTTTGTAGGAAGTGGACTGGTTGCAAATTCAGCCTAAAACACGGCAAAAGAAAAAGCTGTACAATTTTGTTTAATCATAAATGAAGTTGAGCCCTAGAATGTTTGTGAAATTATATTTAGGTTGAGTGGAAGCCTTTGTTAACTTTTATAATAACTGGTGGCATTTCTTTTGCAGGAAGGGAAAAAACCTAATTGTGCATCAGTCCTCCTGCTCCAGTAGGGATTGAAAGGACTGTTGGTGTAAATCTGTTAGCTATTGTTATTTTTAAAAATATTTAAAACATTTCTACTGTGGTTTTCCTCAGAGAGTATCAAGTATCAAGGTGTCTAACTATAGACAGTTAGTTCTGAGAGTATCAAGGTGGCTAACTATAATTGAATATGAAAACATAAAAAGATGAAAAATGCAAACATAACAAAACTAAGAACAGCAGAATCAATGCAAAATGCTATAAAAGAAATTTCCAGCAAAGTTAGAATAGTTTTCCATCTGAACTTAAAAGATTTAACACCCAGATTTAAGGTCTTTTCGGCCCTCACTTCATGACAACAAGCTATTACTTAGGCAGCAAGCCATGCTAACCATACTAATCACTGCAGGTACATGCTTGTTTACAGCTTTTGTTCTTATTCATCATGACACTTCAGTATCTCATTGACTGTAATCCTCCTAGCTGAACATTGCATTAAATGTTTTGTTTTTCCTTTGCAGAGCTGATGGAGAAGTTAAACACTGTGTGATTTACAGCACTCCAAGAGGTTATGGGTTTGCAGAGCCATATAACCTATATAGCACCCTGAAAGAATTAGTCCTTCATTACCAGCATACCTCCCTTGTCCAACATAACGACTCCCTCAATGTTCGGCTTGCTTATCCTGTCTACGCACAGATGCCCTCCCTCTGTAGATAAATTCTAGGAGGGTGAAGTATAAGTGAAATGTTGTTTTTCTTGGATTTCTTTTCTACAGTTTTTATTAGAAACCAGAGGGCATTCTTTCTCCTTAGACTGCTTGTTTTGCACAAGAAGTGATTTGATGAATGTGAATTGGAGACTTAGCAGCAACAAATCACAGCTTTGGGGTAGGTGCCCTGGTGCTACCTGAAGATCAGCTGTGTTTTTATATAAGGAGATTCTCTCTCTCTCTCTCTCTCTCTCTCTCTCTCTCTCTCTCTCTCTCTCCCTCCCTCCCCCCCCCAGTCTCTCTCCCTAAAAGGAACAAGTAAACTCTCAAAAAATGCATACATTTTTGCCAGACACCTAAAAGTGAAACTGTGGAGAGAAACATTTTTGCCAGACGCCATCAGCGGAACTTCTACTTGGATTTTGTTTTTCTGAGGTATTGGTAACGTCTTTCAGTCTTAAGCTCCAGGAGAATGGGGGAAGTCTCTGTACAGAAGCTTTTCCCTGTTAATTTTAGCAGCTTCGCTGCAAGTCTGACAAACTTGCAAATGAGGGCTCTTCTTGATGTAGCATGGTATTTGATGAGAGGAGACCAAAGGAATTATGGGGAGAGTTTCAGGTTCATATTCAAAAGGATATCCTCAAAGAAATGTTGCTTTATATTTTACCAACAATAACAAAGTTTTGGTTTCAACAGCACTCCAGGTCTTCAAATAAAGAAACCAAATTGAACCCACCAAAACTTCTCTCATTGCTGGATTGAGCACTTATGGGGAAAATTGCATTGCAATCGCACACTTGCCAAAACTTGAAGAGAAAAATACAAAAGCTAAAACTTTCTTGTGTAGTTTTCAAAACTCTAACCTGACCTGATGTAACTGCACCACTTTCCCCATTATTACTTTTTTAAAACACATTTTGTTTCTTCCAAGGATGTCAGATTTTGTTTTTAAAAGATACGAAGCTTTGGAATGTAAACTAGAATGAAGCTGGCACTTGGCATGTTTATCAGATGCTAAACAATGACTATTCTATTTGAAAACGTTTGTTAAGAAAAAAAACTTTAAAAGTGCAATGGATTGCTTCTCAGTGGCTTGCTAAACCAAAAAACAAGAACAACAAGAACAACAACAACGCTATGGGTGCAGTCTATTGCTGAAACCGGTGACAAAATTACACTTTTAATGCATTTGGATTGCACCCCTAATCATTAGTCCCATTGCACAGGTTGTATGCTTACCCTCACAATTCAATGTTGGCTTACTTACCATAAGGCAAATACTTGGGTAGCTGCATTCTGTAGGACTAGTCAAGATGTATAGTGGTAGAATCTATAAGTATGTAATCAGCTTTGCTTGGTCTTCTGCCATCATTAGATTCATCTGGATTATATGTGACATCAAATAATGAAATTATAGCAAATAGTTGGAACTGGATCCACTGGACTGTGAGACTCTGTATCCTAAAAATGCTATTATGACTTTTTGTTGTCATTACATATATGCCCTTGTTTATACTTTATTGTAATTTCGAAAGATTATATTTGAGCTAGAACATTTCATAAAACAACAAGGAAAAGTGGACAGATTCAGCATAAGTCTCTCCTTTTTTCTGGTGCAGTATTTGAAGTGCATGCCAGGGATTTGGGACATCATAGATCTTTTCTGGCCCTACCCCACCTTCAGTGCCACCTTGAACCCCCAGACTGTTAGACTATTGTTTACACAAAGCAGAATGCACTATATGTGAGCATAGAAGTATTATGCAGAATATGAAATTGCTGAACAGGAAAATGATAAATCTTGAGCACTAATCTGTAGCTGGAGGGGCCAAACTAGATTGCTTGACATGTCCCAGAAGCACTTCTTTTGCACTAGTCCACCATGGCTTAAGCTAAGTACTGGCTAACCAGCTGCAGCAGCATCTTATAAAAATAGAGCAGTGGTTGTTGTAAGAACTACTTGCTAGTCTTTGGATTTGTGAGAAGATAGTGAAATACCTAATGTGTCCCTCTCTCCTAAAACCTGGAAACACTGCTTCCCCTTTAGACACCAGCAATATCTTTCATTAACTGTGGTTATAGATTTTGCCATTTTGCAAAGAGAGCAGGTACCTCTTCTAGGGACCTGACCACACTTGTACATCCTGATCTGGTATAGGTGCATTGATTTTTGCTTCCAGTCACAAGATGTTGCCTAGAGTACAAAGGCCTCTTCTCAAAATCAGTGGAATGTTTCCAAAGCCACCAGTGATAACACTTTCTATTTAAAGTATAACTGAACAATTGGCAATGTAAGAATCCCCACTGTTTTGAATAAATTTGACCTTGCTTGCCTACATAAAATATTTGGCTTCTATTTTTTGTTTTCAGAGTATCAGAAAACTAAGAACCTTATGCTTTTTTTAAAACTTTGTTTTAAATTTCCCTGTTAATGTTATCAGCTTACTTTGGTTAAGATAGTGTATATTAAATACCTATGACTTTCCTTTTGAAGTACCTCTCTGGGTTTGGGTAAATAAGTAACAGCTGCTGGCATTTTCCATCTGGTGGGATCATGCTTTTGCATGTCTTTCACCTTAGACTTTGGGATGGACTTGGCAAATGAAAAATACTTTTGAACCAGTTGAAATATGTAGCAATATGTACTTCTATTCAGTTTTAATCAAGTGTTCATGATTTAATGTTTGCCCTATAATAATTCATCACACCAGTGAAATGTTAGCTTACCTCAGGTGGCAACATTCCTAATCTCATGGTGCAAATCACTTTTGATGGTTAGGATCAGCCCTACTAAGTGTTTTCTGCCATATGAGGCTAAAACAAATGCAAAAGACAACATGACAGAAGTTAAATACAGGATTGTGTAGGGCCAAAGTTCAGAAGAGATCTGTGTTTTTTTGAAGCCAATGAGCTAGACTTCCTTTAGTAGAACTTGGTTTTTTCAGATAGCAGTTAATTGTATTGATCTCAGTAACCCAACTATGTAGATGACCCCCCCACCACCACCACAGTGTTAAAAAGGGTGGGGAGAGAAAGTATTTTCTAATCTGCACAGTTTATCTGAGGTATATTTGCAAGGATTGGTGATGATCAGTATTTTGTTTTTACACCAGAGGAAAATTGCACATCTGTCTGCATTTTCTATGGTTGTTGTGATGCACAAAGGATCAGCCAAGAACGAAAACAAACTGAACAGCCAGTACTACTGCTAACTAGTTTCTTGTCACTTAAATGTCATAAGAACAAAATTTGTGTATTTAACACTTTCAGGAAAATTTTACTATGGGAAGTGCAAAATTGATTTTTCCTTCTGTAGCAGCTTTGGTACAAAGCAGTTCTTTGAATCTCCTGCTTAGCAGAATATTAATAAAACCATAATCAGTGGATTCCTTTCTAGTGCATTAACCAGGAATCTATTTGCATATGCACACTGGAACTCTTTGTTCCTTCCCCCAACCACTCATCCACCACAGCAGTTCCTTGCACTTCATCAGAAACCACTTATGAAAGTCTCCTCAGTTTCAAAAGTGACTTGTCAAGCAATGTGAGGCAGCTATTACTAGGTTGCAAACATTCAAAAACACTTCCACATAAAGCTGGTGATCCTATCCTAAAATGAAAAGCAGCAGAGCCCCAACAAAAAAGTTATATTTTCAGGATCCTGAACTCTTAAGTCATTCCATCACCCACATCCACTGGAACTCATATTTTCGAAGAAATTAGCATGCAAAATCCATCTAGTTCCCATACTTCTAATTTATAACCATGTAGAATTTTGGATAAAAACAAGCATGGATGAGAACCATGCCTAACTACTTGTACAAGACAGCCAAATGCCAACCTGTGCAAGCTCAGGAATAGGGATAGGAGCAATTCTTTAACCTGTCTCAGGACAGGCAGACAATAGTCTGTAGGAGCAAATGTAGACACACTTAATGCTATATTAAGGGCTTCAATGGTTTGGGTCTGTAATCCTGTGCTGTCCCTTGCTATGGAAAGGCTTGATAAAGTATACAGCAACTTCATGCTGTGTCTGCTCAAGTAGCAATTTTCCTGTTTTGCTATCACATTTCTAAGTCTAGAAAAGCCCCCTTTTGGTACTTGAACAATATATTTTTGTTTGTATGTGTGTGCTTGTTTTTGTTTTTAAATTCACACTAACAGGGAGTAAAAACTGAAAGTGGTAGTGTGTGTATGTGTGGGTGGGTGGGTGTGGGTGTACAGACATGCAGAACTTTGTGAAATGACACTTTATAAGTGAGATCTGAGCAAGCATTGTAGTGTATGTTCAAGGTTTTGTGTCATGGGTTTTGAGTTATCTTTTTTTTACCCGTTTTGATTTTATTAATGTGAATTCATATATATCTGTTTTACAGTTAGGGAAGCTTCATTATATTCCTGAAGATTTACAGCAAGTATTTAATGTGTACTTGCAGTTAGAAGTAGTCAGATTTCAGGTTTTGGGTTCTTGAAATTTGCTGAGAGTTCAGCAACTATTAACTGTACTTTCATACATGGAATACATTTTTGTTTCTTCAACAAGAGTCAGTCCCTTGCCCCTGCAACCGGATACTACAGTGAAATGTGTTGGAAGATAAAATTACTTTTTAAAATAAGTAGGATAGTGACTAACAGTCCCAGGGCTGGACATGATTACACTTCTGCTGGGACCCAAAGCTAGGTCAGAGACCTACAATAACCAGCATTCTCTACTGTTCTTCCTCCTCATCCATTGTCATCTGTTCCCTTGTTTACTCTTCTTTTACTCCCTGGACTATTTCCTGCCTGCTGAAGAGTCTCAAGGATGTAGGGATGTGCCCTGTATTATGCCGCTTCATACATCATGAAAGTTGTCCCTTGCCACCATTACAACACTGCTTCCCCAACCTTAGAGTGCTGGAAAGCACACCATTGCTTAGGCACTGTCTATCAGTGCCCCCCCCCCCCAAAAGAACAGTGCTTGCCATCCTGGTTTTAGGGGCTGGAACTCCTTGACAGCTATAAACACTTAAGCCAAGCCTGGCTTCTCTTTTCTGACCACTGGACATTACTCTCATCACCTGCCTCCAATGAGGAGAGAGGGAATAAATTCCTTGTAAGCAGCTGCAACAGTGTTAGTTAATGCCTTGTGCTATGGAAGGGTGCCAGAGCACCCAACACAGCCCTTAGTTTGCATGGTGTCTTATTTGAGGGGCCTCAAACATTTACACATTAAGCAGCTACTGAGTGGATCAGTTGCCACCACACACAGGTAATTTGTGTCCATCTCCTGTCAAGTAACTTTCCTCCTTGTGGTCACAAGCCACTGCCATGAATGAGAAGTAATGAGAAGATGCACTATAGAATGGATGCAGCTCTCTTGTAAGGCTGTACAAACATAATTGCAAAGCTACCTTAACATTTATAGAAGGCCTCTCTCTATATCACTGTAATATGACATTTGGATTTAAGTTTATGCTTTACATGACCAAGAGATTCCAGTGCTGCTAAAAAAACCCTGATTTTTTTTTTTTTTTTTTGAAAAACAGCATTGTGGGCCAACTGTATGAGATGGTTAAAAGAACCAGGATCAGATAAGTTTTAAGTTGAAAGCAGCTGAGGTGTTATAACAGGATTGTGTAAGCAGTTGTTTGCTTCACTGTACCAGTTTCCTGTTCTAAATCACCAATCTAAAACTGTTCCTTGCAGGCATGCAGCTGCTACTGGTGGAACTATCACCACTGGTAAATTATTTGGATTGGGAAGATAGCAGAAGGGGAGAGTCAAACACACATCCCCCCCCCTTTGGTAGTGTTCCTTTGGCATAATTGGAGCCCACATGGATGCTTTAAACAAACCTTTCATAGATTGCCCAATATCTTGCCCATCGGCTTTGAGCTAAAACCTATGCTTGGAAGAATATGATTTGACTGAACACTGATCAACAAATAGTAGCTAAAGTTCTTGAAATCTTATGTTCTGCAGGCAGAACACCACCACAGCAAAGGAGGATTTTTTTAAACCCCTCACATCTGTTTTGTTCAAAACAGCATATGTTACTTTTCTAGGAAATTATAAAAATTAAGCACTGGCTTTTTGGACTGGCTCCATAGTTTTAAATAAGGATTTTTCTAGCAGTCATGGTCCTTAGGCAACATCCCTTGTTCCTGTCCTATGGCTACTGCAAATATTCCTGTTGGCTTTAAACTTAACTTGAAGAGCTCTATGCAGTGAATGGCACAGAGGCATTCTCTGCTTGACTGGAGAGAGTCTCACTGATTCACTGAGAAGAGTTCACATATCACAGCAAGCCACCCTGAAAATGAGCTGTGGTGGGCTGGTTGTTGTCTCCCTGACTAACAGCCATTTTACCACTTACCATAACTTGTTTCCCACTTAGTCCTCCCATATGCTCCTGGCACATACCTTCCCAGGCCTCTGCAGCACAACCTTGGCACTACTCTGCCACTATGCACACTCAGACTCATTAGCAGAGTAGAGGTTTTCAGTAGAATTTTCTTTCTACCTTTGGGGAGATTTGCTCAAATTTAACAGGGCTACTTCTGTCTCATGCAGATTTAACTTGACTGACTCTTTTAAACTTTTGAGGAAATTCTTCCAATCTGAAAGAACCAGTGTGGTGTAGTGTTAAGAGCACAGGACTGGGACTCAGGCAAGCTGTGTTCTAGTTCCCACTTGGCCATGGAGCCAACTGGGTGACTTTGGGCCAGTCACAGACTCTCAGCCCAACCTACCTCACAGGATGGTTGTTGTGGGAATAAGATTGAGAGTAGGAGGAGGAGTATGATGTAAGCTGCTTTGACTTCTGTGTAAGAAAAGGCAGGATATCAATCAAGTAAAGTGCAATAACTACTCCACTAAAGTAGTTAACATCACTGTGTTGGATTTGTACAAATCTCCCCAAAAATGGATTTGCTTGTTAAAGTTAAATTTGTGCAAATCTCCCTAAAAGTAGGAAAACAGCACATTGTCTAAGAGCCAATGAAGTAGGGGAATAAATTTATTAGTGTCATTTCAAGACATAACAGATACCATTAGTGAGATTATAAAAATGGGCTGGGAGGGTTTTATGCTGCACTTGCCAGGCAGCTCTCTCACTGTTTTAAACAACATATACTGAAGAAAATCTGCCAGAGTTTGGATGTCAAGCCATCCTAAACAACCCTACCACAAGCCATGGGCTTTTAGTGATGGCTTTAAAAAAAAACCCACAATGGGAAAGCCACACCAGATCTGGATGTCACACCAAGCCACCAATAGTGATAACCCACTGTGGCTTAGCATGATGTGTAAACCAGGTCATTTGAGTATTACAAGTAGTAATAGCTCTTGTTTAAGGTCCACTCTGATATTTCACACTGCTTGGTAACTTGTCTATATACCCACAGGAGCATTGCACTTTCGCCAATCTGCACCTCCGGGCACTTTTCTTAAAAAAAAGATAGGGAGCAGGAATTTGCAGAGTCTAAAAAACTACTATTTTAAGACATTTTCAGGGGTCAACATGCTCCCTCCTCATTCTAGGTCTGTTACTTTCAGTAGTGTTGCACCCTCATGTATTCCAGTCAGCTGTGCAAGTAAATGTGTGTGCTGTCTTTGAAGTGAAGTTATTTTGTCTTTGAATGACTGACTACAAAGAAATTTGATTCAATCTATTAATAACTTCGTAAATTTTGCTAGTTTACAGCCCCATGGGATTGTACTGGTTTGCAACCTCTCCTGCCCATTCTGAGTGTGTATGTGTACTGTATGTATATAGATATATGGAAAATAAATTCTCATACACAAGTCTATATGCATTGGCCATAAGTGGCACTGCCCTTTTGAAAATTCAATTTTACCATTTGCACTTGTTTTACCACCCCACAATCTTAATGCTGGGATCATTTTTTGTTGTACTCCTTCCCACACACCCTGAAAAAAGGTGGAGTTCATCACTAACACTTTTGTTGTACTTTTTGAATTTATTTTTTCTTACCATTTTACTAATTCGATCCATATGCAGCGTTAGAGTTGATTCAAAACAAAGTTGTTTTATATAAGACCCACTTTCTTTGAAATGCAGTAATAGTTGCACATTTTAAATACATGCAAACTACATCTAGCGCTAATGTGCAAAGGAGAGCAGTAGCATTAATAACTGTGTGTAGAAATATTTGTACCTATGTGAAAACAAGTGGGTAACTTTATGTTGAAGTTTGCCAGAACTATGCACTCCTTTGTACATCCTGCATAAGAACATTGCATTCTTGAAATTCATTTTGGTTTTCCTTTTAAGGGATGCTGTTTGTCAAAGATATGCTTCCCATGAAACAATGGGGGTGTTTTTGGTTTTGTTCTTTTTAATATGAATTCCAGCATGTAACTTTGGTAGTCTTGTTGGTATGTAAAACCTGTTCTTCTGTCATTTTATGGTGTAGTCAAATTCATGTAGTTTAACTTTTAAAAAAGAAACTGCTTCATGAGGAAAACAGTTGTATGTTAGTCATAACGTAGTTTCTAGATAAGTAATGCAACATTGTACTTGTCACCAAATGTGCTATGATCTTACTGTATGTTTCTATTTTTAAAAATAGATGGTTGAGCTTTGGAATCCCAGACACTAAGCATTCTGGCCTACTTTGCTTTAGAATAAAAATGCAATAAAAGATTGCAATAAAGCACATTTAAATGTAATGTTTTAGAAGGATGTACTGACCGCTGTTTCTAATAAATTCAGAAATACAGCCTACCTGGTATGATGTGGTGGTACAAAATGTGTTGGCTCTGTTTTGAAACTTTGGTATTTGATTTCTTAAAGAATAATTCAGAGAAGGTTTGTACTTGAATATCACAATATTGTTGAATTGCCAAATGCTTACCATTTTAAAATCCCAGTCGGCAAGCTGGTTTGTTCAGCTGAAATACCAAATTCCTGTCAAGTGCTTTCTTCAAAATTTCAAGTGCACATAAGCATGTAGGACACCAGCAGTTGCAGGGAAGAAAAGCCAGTGGAGCTGAAGAAAGTAAGTCATCAATGACACATTCCAAGTTAACACAGTGATAAAATAATCTAAAAAGGAAAAAAAAACCCACTCAAATACAATGGAATAGATGCAGATTTACACTTGATCAGCCACATATCTTTCTTCTGAGTTTCAAGAAGAATCATTCCTCTGAGAGAATACTACATGTGGAAGTAGTGTTATGATTGATAGTCTCAAAACTTTTGTCACCAGAAAAAAAACCAAAAATTACATAAAAGGTCAAGGATTGGCAAGCAAAGCAGATTTAATGGCATTACATCTCTCTCTCTCTGGCCGTGTGTGAGAAGACATTTGTAGCCTGGATGTCCTCTCGGAGGCCCAGCTTTTTCATCCCTGGCTGCTGTTATGGATGATACAGAGTTATCAAAATAGCAGCAGTATTTCTTAGCCCACAGATCAAGTTTTCCCTTCTTTGGTAAGGGAGTTTACTTATTAGATTTATATCCCACTTTTTTCTTATAAACTCAAAGTGGCTTACACGATTTTCTTCCACCTGCTCTCAATCTTACCCGCCCCGCCACAGCAACTCTGTGAGGAAAGTTGTGCTGCGAGTCTGTGACCAGCCCAAAGTCACCCAGTTGGTTGCCTGACCAAGTGGGGACTAGAGCACAGGTCTCCTGAGTTCCAGTCCCATGGTCTTCACCATTACACCACACTGGTTCTCAGAATTGCAGCAATATGATCTAGAGCATGTCCCCAAATGGTTACAACAAGCCATCTTTACCATGGATATTTCAGATTCAGATCACTAAAGGGATTTGATCCGGTCACAAGGCCCTTCACCAAAGACCCTTGAGCAAACTTATCAGTCATGAATAAGATGGGAAGACTGCTTATGGATCCATAACTGATTAAGGAATAGAAAGCTGAGAGTAGGAATAAATGGTAAATGCTCCAAAAGAAGGTGCATAAACACTAGGGTCTGTATTAGGACGAATACTTTCTAATAATACCTATTCATACATGTGAATGTATGAATGAGCAGTGAAGTGGCCATGTTTGCTGAGTGGCCATGTTTGCTGATGACACCAGACTATTTGTATACACTATTTAAAAGCAAAAGAGAGTATGAGGAGTTCAGAAAGGTTTTTCCCAAACTGAAAGAATGGCCAACAAAATGGCAAATGTGGTTCATTGTAAGCAAGTGTGAAGTAATATATGTAGGGGGCAAGATTTTCAACTTCAAGTACAAGCTGATGGGATCTGAGCTAGCAGTGATTGACCAAAAAATAGATCTTGGAGCTAAGGTGGGACAGCTTCATGGAAATGTCAAACCAATACATGTGAAAAAGGCAAATTCCATGTTAGGCATGATTAAGACTAGAATTCAAAATAAATTGTCAAGATCATAGAATCTGTGTTGCGACCACACTTGGAATACTCTGTGTTCTGGTCACTGCACCTAAAACAGGATATTGTACAATCTGAAAAGTTGCAGAAGAAAGAAAAATTAAGGTGCTGGGACACCTCCTCCATGAGGAAAACCTATAACAGCTAGGATTGTTCAGCTTAGGAAAAAAGAAAAAAGGCATGGGTATGGAGAGAACTGACCGATACATACAAAATTAAGCATGGTGTGGAGAAAGTGACAAGGAGAACACTTTTCTCCCCTTCCCATAATACTCCAACAATTGGTGGAAGAATCAGGACAGATAAAAGAAAGCACTTCACACAGTGCATAGTGAAACTAGAATTCACTGCCATAGGATGTAGTGATGGCCACCAATTTGGTTGGCTTCAAGAGGACTGGACAGATTCTTGTAGGGCATGAGTATCAACATCTACTAGACTTGATGTGATCTCTTGTATCAGAGCCAGTACCTTCATGCACACCAGTTGCTGGGGAACTTGGGCACAGGATGCTGGACTACATGGACCTCTAAGTCTGATCCCGTATGATCCAGTCTTCCTATGGTCTTATATTAAATCCTGAAGATTTGCACAGTACATCTGTTAGTACTTCATTTTTCCCGACAATTTCCTAGTGAACATAATCCAGTCAGAACGGACAAAAGCTCACTTGAAAAGCTGGGGGGGGGGGGGACTGAGCTCTCCATCCCTCTGGAAAGAAGCAATAGACCATTCTCAACCAAACCTGGTTGGAATATGCTGGGAGTCATAGTTCAAAATGTATGGAGGGCACCGTGTTGGAGCAAGACTGCAACAGAACTACTGGAGCGGGCAGAGAAAGCTCAACCCATATTGGCTTCATACATAAGAGAGCTTCTTAACATGCCAGTCTAGTTTTTAAGCAAGCAACCTAAATTTCCAGGACATCTTAAATCCCTCAGCAGTCAGCAGAGGTACTGGATGCCTTCCACATTTCAGTTTCCATGGGGCTGCTCCAAAGCATCCCTTGGGCTTCCTTGCTGTCCAGGGTGCTGAGGAAAACCAGAACAAAGAAAGCACCAGTCATCCAGGAAGACACAGAACCCTTGGTTTTCGGAGAACCCATACCTGGCACATTTGGACTCCTGCCAGTATTACATCACTGCCTTCATTTTGTACATGCTCGTTCATTAATCTGTTTCCTTCAGTTTTGAAATCAATCTACCTATTTAAAAATGTGCATAAAATCATGCTGAAATAACCTTTGGGGGTTATAGTTACACAAAGTGCACACTGTGTATTTCTAAACATACTATCCTAAAATTTTATTTGACTTCATTCATTCTGCTAATTGAGATGTATAATGAATGTTGGTACATTCTTTTCAGACAAGACTCGCATCACAAAATTCTTAGAGGTGTGAAATCCCACAGGTAACTGTGTTACAAGCAACACATTTGTCTGGGTGATGTGGATAAGTCAGCTGCAAACACACCTAGTTAAGGCTACTACTAGCACTTCACGTTCAACACTTTTTGTCTGAGGAAAAAGTGTTTATATTTGGACACTGTTCTATGCATAATAAAATAAACAGTTTTAAACCATATTTAAACACAACCAAGAAAGCCATTTTATTCCCCCACACAAATGGCTACCAAAGTTTTTAGCCCAAAGGCAACAGGAAGAATTTCATATAATTCTGCTTGCTTAGTCTGAATTATAACTTAACCTTTCAAACAATTTTCTACTGACAACTTGTTTTCCCCAGTTTCTGAATGGATACACTGCATAGAATCTGCCCACCAATAAGAATAATTAAATCTTACCAAGGACAAGTACTTTCGCTGCTATTCACTGCATGAGAATTTAAGCCCCATATCTTTGAATCCAATTCTGATTCTTGTCTACTAAGCTATAGAATATACTCTATATCCAAGAGTTCAGCATGGATGAGAAATACTTTTATATGCAGATGATAGTGCTACTTTCCCTGACAAGCATAGGTCCAAGATAACTTCTATGGAACTTTAGCTCATTATCATAAAAATCAATTACTGACAATTAACTATGCTAAGTCCAAGGTGATGGTCTCAAGGAGGAGGAAACAAGTGGAAGATCAATAACTTCCCCGTTGATAAGGTTACATCCTTTTTGATACTTGAACATAATTTTCCACTCTTCTGGCTCATTTTTTTCACAAATTAAATATGCCATTGAAAATACAGAAGCATTGAGGCTCTCCCACCTCAAGATAACCATTCTTGTCCTGCTGATTTCAGTGGGTGTAAGTAAATACTTACCTTTCCAATAGATTAAATGGGTCTTAAAATGCTTAATTTCACCTGGACTGCATTTATTGTCCCCTTTTGAGTTCACTGACACCCCCCTCAAAAAGGTCACCTTTCAGTTTCTTCTACAAGCACTTTTTGTGGGTTTCCAAAAATAAGACTGGGGCTGTTCAGACAAGAGACAGGATTTTCTAGAAAACTTTGGAGTAGCCTCCTCTAGGCTGCTATGCTGCAGTTGTTTTTCACTTCAACTCCCAGAAGCCTAATGTCTAAAGAACAGAATTCTGGAAGTTGTAGTGTGAAACATTTGGAGTGCACTATGTGGAAGAAGGCTGCTCTGAAGGATTATAAGGGCTGGCTTCATCCTTCTCAGTAGTAGCATTCTGTTCCTTTTGGACCATGCAGAATGCAACATCAGGAGGAGACCCCCTGATCCCCCCTTGTTCTCCTCAAACCCTCACCCTCTATTAGTAAGGGACACTTCAGAAAGTTCTATGACTGTATCAGTAAAGTTCCTAAAGTTCCAGCAAAGGGTTTTTTAAGCTACTCATAATACCAGAATCCAGGGTCCTCCAATGAAAGTGAAGGAGGAGAGATTTAGGACTGGCAAAAGGAAGTGCTTCTCCAACAGCATTTAGTTGTAGTATGCAATTCACTACTACAGGATGTATGATGGCTACCATGGTGGACTACTTCAGAAGAGAATTAGGCAAGTCCATGTAGAATAAGACCAACTTTGGCCATTAGTCATGGGAGCTGAATTGGAGCAATATGACTCTATACCAGTTGCCTGGGAACATTAATGAGGAAGACAGAGGGAGACCAGGTCTTGAACGTTTCACTCTGCTCAGATGGATTCATCCAATTCTGAGGAGGCTGTGGAGGGGTAGTGGGGAGCAGCTATCTTTTAGCAGTTTCAAGGTTACCTAGCGAAGCTTCTCAAGCAAAGCAAGAGAACCAGCCCACCTTGGAGAAGGAGGCAGGCCTTTCAGAACTGAAAGGAAGTGATGGAGAAGGACCTCCTTGACCCAATCAGGAGATGACAGGCAAAGCAAGCAAACCAATTACAAAATGTTCCTATCTAGCCCTCAAGTAGGAGCCACCCTGAGGGTGGAATAAGAGGCTTTTCTAAAAGGGAGGAAAGGAGGGGAAGTTTCAGTCTGAATTCTTTACATAGGCAGACACTTCCCTCACATCTCAAGGAAAATGCTACTTTGTTGTGCAACCTGTTGAGTTTTAATTAAAGAACTGTGCTTCTAAAGTTTCATCTGAGTCTGCTGCAGAGGAAAAGAAGGAGGGAGAGTCTTGCTCATGACAGGTACTATTGCACACCATGCTTGCGGTTTTCCCACTCATAACTGATTGGCCATCATGAAAAGAAAATGCTGGACAAGGTAGCCCTTTGATCTGATACATCAAGGTACACATCTTAATAATGTTCTAACGTGGATTCTTCACTGAGCAGGTGGTTAAATTAAATGGACTAAACAGCTCCTTCCAACACTATAATTCTAAGTTCCTACTTCCTTATAAAGGCAAGTTTTAAAGTATTATATTAGTGCTGGAATTCTAAATCTATCATGACTTGGTATAATATGCATGTCTTTAAAATTTTTGATAGCCATCCTTCTACCAAATGTACTGAAAATGGCTGACACAAATGAAATAATATTCAAATACTAAGAGCATCAGATAGGCTATGGCCATACTAGAGATACAGTGACCTCAAAATGTTGGTGGTCTGGAGTTCCCATCAGCCACAGACAGACTGACTAATGATAAGGCATGATGGGAGTAACAGTTCGTCATGTTTAGAGGGCCATGGGATCTGTACCTCTACTCTAAAGGGAAATATTCTACAATGGAGGCATAGCAGCTGAAAGAGCCTTCTCTTTGTCATCTATATATTTATTTTAGAATATTTATATATTATATCCCATTTGAAAAATCTCAAAACAGTTTATAACAAATTATAAACACTACAAAAACATGAAAATATTTAAAGAAGAGAATGAGTAGGAAGATTTAGGGTAAATTAACACATTTGTAAGGATCATCAAAAGCACATGATTGTTGGTCTCTCACATAGCACAGAGGCGAGGGCATACCACAGAGAAGGCCTGTTGCCATGTTGCAGCCAGATGGGACTCTGCAGGATGTGGCACAGATAGCAGGGACTCTTTGGAAGATCCCAGTTGTCAGGGAAGGCATATGGAGGAGGACACTGTGAGCTGATCTAAGAGCACAGAGGGGCTGCTGTGGGGTGGGCACACCTTTAGGTACCTAGGTCACAAGACATTTAGGGTTTGAAAAATAAGCACTAACACTTTGAACTGGGCTTGGAAGCAAGTGAATAGCCATGAAACTCTTTTAAAGTTGGCAGTACATGATCTGAAGGGGCTGCCCCATTTAGAATTCTATTCCTTTTATTTTGCTCCAAAATACTTCCCAAAGGACAATGATTGCAGTAATCCAGTCTCACACAATAATTGCCACAAGTTTGCTGTCAACTTACTTGAGTGTTGACTAGATGCATTTCTTACAAAAGTCTGATCACTTTTGAGTAAAATCTACTGATTGCCCAATAAGTGCTTTAAAAACAAACGATCACATACTTTTGAAATCATATGAATACAAAGAAGAGTTTGGTGGGGAAAGTTCTGATTATTATCCATATTATCTTCAGATATTTCAGAGTGTTTGGAGGGAAGAGGTTCAAGTCCTCAGAGTTTTAGAACCAACAAATCCTTAATCTTCTATTATTACAAACACCTAGCCTTTCACTCTCACTAACTCATCTTGCACCTCAATCCCAGAAAATCCTGTTGTAAAGTTTGAACCCAAACAAATATGTAAAATAAGCAACAATCCCACTCTTTGGTGCATACCTTAATATGGTGAAGGGTCAGAGAAGCTGAGAGCAAGGCTGCCAGAAGGTGCTCTAGTATTCATTAGACTGGTGTCCTTACAGGGTCACCCAAGATGGAACAGTCAATGAGGAAACACCAGCTAAGATGCATCCAGCCTCTCCAGGAGTAATGGTGCCATCAGCAGAGGAAGATTGTGAGGTGGGTGAAAAAACTTCTGAAGGGCAGCTACTGGGCAGCAGCAGCAGTAGAAGGCAACACTGAGGAGGATCTTTCAGAAAACCAGTGATGCTCAAGCTAACTCTGGTTAGTCCTGTGCAGGAGAAGGCAATGATAAACTAAATCTGAATATTTCTTACTTTGCAAACCCTATAATAAAGCAATCAAAAATGAAAAAAATAGAGTCAGAAGATGTGATTTCCAGGTAAGAATGCACTCAACAAGCGACTGGAGAAGAGCAAAGAACAAGTACAAAAATCAAGAATCAAAGTCAATCTGAAAAAGATCACTAAAGGAAGCAAAATGCCAACCTACTTAAATAACCTTCCTGTGGAATTTGAACACCACATAAAGAACAGATTTGATGCAATGACACCTCGTTTTTCTAACCCTAACCCTACCCTGGTTCACACTCCTAACCCAAATTGAGGGCTTAAATTTCATTGAAAAAAATGCGATTTTGAAAAAGCCATCCTTGAGTAGGTTATCTGCACTGCTCATCATTTCTGCCCATTCTAAACACATTCCCACCATCAAAATCATGCCAGGACATGAGTAGAAGTGCTGAGCTGTGTAGAAGAAGCTACTCAAGGAAGGCATTTTCAAAATCACATTATTTTCATTCGTACTTCTGACCTACATTAGGTTGAAATTTTTTATTTAAATAAAAACATACTACAAAGGTACAAAAAGGCCCTAAAATTGCAACATTACAAAAATAGAAAGTACCCCATACGTTATTTACATCCTTTCAAAATGCCAAATGTACACACATTTACAAGATTCCCAGGCTTTACACATCAAATGTACAAAAAGAACTTTGTATAGGCTTTTCCTGATAGCTTCATGCCATGTGTCTGAGCAACATGTATGAGTGATTCACGGACATTACGTTATCGGGGCATGTGCCCCACTCAACCACGGCCATAATTTCCTCCACCTACTGGGCGGCATCCTCCCTTTTTCCTCGCGGCTCAACCAAAAAATCTTCTCTTGGACAAATTTAGGGTTAGGAGTGTGAACCAGGGTAGGGTTAGGGTTAGAATAACGAAGTCGGAAGATTGCAAGCTAACGGTTTTTGGCGGGAAAGCTCCCCTCCCCCTCTCCCATAGCCTATAAAGAGCGGAGCATCCGCCATTTTGTTCAGTCTTTGATGACCAAACGTACGCCCCCATGTGGAAAAAAATTGCCACTACTAGATAGGAAAAAGATCGGCACCATGAAAAAAAGGGAAACCTTTGGTACCAACGAATATGTCCACTCACCAACTCCGAGTGGGGCTGGCGGGTGGGTTGTGTGACTGCACAGATGGCCACTTGAAGAACATCAGTTACAGGTAAGCAACCTGCTTTTCTTTGTTGTGGCCTCTGTGCATCACACATATGGGTAGATTAACAAGCTTACCATAAAAGGAGGAGGGGAGGTGTCCTCAATGAAGAACAGATGAAAGAATGGCTCTGCCAAAGGAGCAATCTTGCTGAGCCTGAACATCTAGACGATAATGTCTGGCGAAAGTGCAAGGCGTACATCATCAATCGGGACCCACGATGCAAAGGCAGATGAGGCAGCAACAGCCCTAGTCGAATGGCTTCGAGGAACTGTAGGTAATTCAATCTTAGCCAGTTGGTAGGATAAAGAGATAGTATGGACTATCCACTTGGAAAGTCTCTGCGGAGTGACTGGATCGCCTTGATCTCTGGTGGCAAATTTAACGAATAGTCTATTTGAGCGTCAAATAGATTCAGTCCTCGATCTGTAGAAGGCTAAGCAGTGCCGAACATCAAGTGAGTGCAATGATCTTTCTAACGGAGTTGACGGCGATGGAAAAAAGGCAGGTGAGATAATATCCTGTCCCATATGAAAAGATGTGGCCACTTTAGGAAGAAAAGATGGATCGAGGCGCAAAATGACCTTTTCTCTGTGAAAGTTCAAGTAAGGAGGGTCTATGCGGAGAGCGCAGAGCTCACTGGCCCTTCGGGCTGAAGTAACCGCAACAAGAAATGCTGTTTTCCATGAAACCAGATGTAAATCGACTGTTGCCAATGGTTCGAAAGGAGCTCTCGTAAGTGCTTGTAGAACAACAGAGAGACTCCATGTAGGCATTACTGGCCTGATTGATGGATTAAGATTATGAAGTCCTTTAAGAAACCTCTTAACAGCAGGTCGAGAGAAGATGGTTGATCCGTCAACTAAGCCACAATGGTAGGCTATTGCTGCCGTATACACTTTAACTGAAGACGGTTTCAATCCGGAATGGTGCAGTTCTAATAGGAACTGAAGGATTTGATGTATCGATGATGTCAATGGAGAGAACAAACGAGACTCGGCAAAGGTAGAAAATCGTCTCCATTTAGCCACGTAGAACTTCCGTGTGGACGGCTTCAAAGCAGAATCAAGGATGTGTTGGATATCAGGATGAAAGGCTGTCGGATTCAACAGATCAATCCTTGAATCCGATGGTACGGAAGGAAGAAATGAAGAGGAAACGCCGAACCCACTGGATTCGACAACAGGATTTGAACCACTTGAAGCTGTCGTCGATACCGATGGCACAATGGTAGCTATCGGATTCGCCACACTGTTAAGTTCAATGACAGTAAATCTGGATGGCGAAGCGTACTGTCCTGTTGGGTTTTGAGGTACGGAAGCAGTGGTAGATGGAGGCATTCCCTGCGAGAGATGTCGAGCAGTGTCACAAACCAAGCTTGGCGTGGCCACCAAGCCACTAAGCTGTTGGGCCTGGGGCAATTAGTATCCCCAGGCCCAACAATATACTATCTTCGCTATCACTCTCATCATAAGAGGGATTGGAGGGAAGGCTTAAAAGATCAGGTTGTTCCAGGGGATCATGAAGGCAACCCCTAGGGATCCATCCCCGATTCCTGCTCTCGAATGGTAAGCATCGCACACCTTGTTCTGTTGGGTGGCGAACAAGTCAGGGAATCCCCAGCGATGAAAGAGATGGTCGCGTGTCCGAGGATCTAGGTCCCATTCATGAGAGATGAACGTGTGCCTGCTGAGGAGGTCTGCTTGCACATTGTCCGTACCAGCCAGATGGACTGCCATCAGAGTAATGTCCCTCGGAATGCACCAGTCCCAAATTTGCATTGAAAGTCTGGCCAAAGTCAGGGACTTTGTTCCACCTTGTTTGTTCAGCTAGAAGACGGTGGCTATGTTGTCCAAAGTTATCTGAATGACCCATTGTTGGAGAACATCCTCGAAAGAGCGTAGGGCCTTGAATACTGCCAGCAACTCCAGGAAGTTGATATGATTCATGGATTCTCGATGATTCATCGTGCCTTGGGTGTATAGGCCCGAGCATATCGCTCCCCATCCCAGAAGAGATGCATTGGTACCGAGGGTTATCAAAGGACATCGTGGCCTGAAGGGTAAGTATATATTTTTTGGTTTTTTTTTTTAATAGAAGACTGAAAGGAAGGTAGAATGATAGAGAAACTACAAGAACTATAAGACCTAGAAGAAATACTGGGGCTATAACAACTGGGAGAACAATCGATAAGAAGAACAAGAACAAGCTAGACGAGCAACAGTCAGAGCGAGAGCGAAGGCGGCACAAGGCACAGCAAATGGCGGTCGCAAAGACTGAACAAAATGGTGGATGCTTCACTCTTTATAGGCTATGGGGGAGGGGGAGCAGAGCTTTCCCGCCAAAAACCGTTAGCTTGCAATCTTCCGGCCAAAGGCACTGCGCAGGCACAGCCCCCATATGTGTGCTGCACAGAGGCCACGATGAAGAACCTCGTTTTTCTAACCCTAACCCTACCCTGGTGCACCCCCCAAACCCTAATATAGGACAAATGTTTCATTTAAATTAATACAATTTTGAAAAAGCCTTCCTTCAGTACATTCTTTTGCAATGCTGATCATTTCTGCCCACTCTAAACACATTCCAACCATCAAAATAATGCAACGACACTTTGTTTTTCTAACCCTAACCCTACCCTGGTTCACACTCCTAACCCTAGTGTAGGGCATAAGTTTCCTTGAAAAAAATGTGATTTGAAAAAGCCTTTCTTGAGTAGCTATATCTGCACTGCTCATCATCTCTGCCCATTCTAAACACATTCCCACCAAAAAAAAAAAGATGCCAGGACACCTCGTTTTTCTAAGCCTAACCTTTCCCAGGTGCACCCTGCTAACCCTAATATAGTGCAAAAGTTCTATTTAAATTAATGCAATTTTGAAAGAGCCTTCCTTCTGTACATTTTTTTCCAATGCTTATCATTTCTTCCCAGTCTACACACATTTCAACGATCAAAATCATGGCAGGATACCTCATTTTTCTAACCCTAACCCTACCCTGGTTCACACTCCTAATCCTAATGTAGGGCAGAATTTTCATTGAAAAAAATGTGGTTTTGAAAAAGCTTACCTTCAGTACATATTTTTGCAATGCTTATTATTTCTGTCCACACTTAAACATATTCCAACCATCAAAATCATGCCAGGATGCCTCGGTTTTCTAAACCTAACCCAACCCTGGTTCACAGTCCGAACCCTAATAGAGGATAAAATACTACTGAAATTTATGCAATTTTGAAAATACTTTGCTTGAGTTGCTTTTTCTACACAGTTTATCACTTCCGCCCATTCTAAACACATTGCCATGCTCAAAATCATGTCAGGACACCTTGTTTTTCTAACCCTAACCCTACTCTGGTTCACACTCCTAACCCTAATATAGAGTACAAGTCTCATTTTAAAAAATGTGATTTTGAAAAAGCCTTCCTCCAGTAGCTTTTTCTGCACTGCTCATCATTTCTGCCCATTCTAAACACATTCCCACCAACAAAATCATGCCAGGACACCTCATTTTTCTAACCCTAAACCTACCCTCGGGCACCCCCCAAACCCTAATATAGGGCAAAAGTTCAATTTAAATTAATGCGATTTTGAATGAGACTTCCTTCAGTAAAATTTTTTGCAATACTCATCATTTCTGCCCACTCTAAACAGATTCCAACCATCTAAATGATGCGACGACACCTCATTTTTCTAACCCTAACCATAGCCTGGTTCACAAATCTAAACATTAGATAGGGCAGTAGTTCCACTGAAAAAAATGTGACTTTG